ATAAAAAATGGACCTCATTTTTCATCGCTGGGTAACAATTTACTCAGGTTTTTTTTTCATGTACAGAAGAATTGCAGAGCCCACAAAAGTAGCTATACAGTAATGAAAATCTAAACGTGCTCGCAGAACGCATTCATTAATTATACAATCATATAATTAATAAATATAAATAATAAATATATCAAACTCTCAAATGTTCAAACTGTTTGCCTCCGTCATTCACAAACTCCTTTTTACCTATAAAACATTCATTATTTATTAAACAAAAATTATAAGAAATATATTATAAGAAATATTATGAAAATAAATATATTAAAATGATTTTAATCAACGAAAAGAATCCTAGTTTTAAATGAATCCGAGAACTACTATTTTAATACTAGTAATATTGGTATAATACAAACTGTATACCTACTTGTATTAGCGTCATTTCAGCAACAAACTTCAAGCAAGAGAAATGTCGTTGTTCCATCGAATGGTGAAAAAATCTATAGACTGAATATATGAGCAATTACGAAAAGTTAATTAAAGAAATAACAATGATAATCTTACAATCAGAAAGGAAGAGACGAATTTTCCTTCTTTCTACGTACATACAAAAAAACACATGCACATACACACAAACACACACACACATGTGATAAAATATACTTTTAAAGTATGCTATGATTATGCACCATTTTCCAGCAGGTATAAAGAGCCGAGCCAAAACACAGCACACATGGCCTGAAGATTGCATTCACGCATGAACCTGACAGTCACGACTTTGTGTTGACTTCTGTCTCATCACTTATATTTACCCACGTTCTATTATTATTATCGTGCATTTTACGCATAAATATTGCATACCTTAAAACTATATTTTATCCTACTTAGCTACTGATAAACAGGAGATCATTTCTGCTACATTTATAACCTATGACGTATACTGAAAAATTGAGCCTTGACTTTCTCCATAATGAACATACCCATCACACCACCATTCACATACAAACTGAAATTAACAGAAAAACAGAATGAGACGGAAAGCGCATTTCTTCTTAACCGTTTGAACCCTGACCACCGCTTTACCGGTGGTAGCGAAAAATTTCAATGAAAAAATGGTTTAATGCCCAGTCACCGGTTTAACGGTGGGTAAACACTTGTAATTATTTTTTTTATATCTACCGTGAAGTATTATATACCGATTATTTGCGAATTTTGACTGGCAGAAGGGTTAAAATTGTTCATAAACGCAGTGCTGAAGTGTTTAAACTCAGAATTAGACAGAAAATTCCAAATTCAAGGAAAAATAGGATTTTAAAACTAAAGAATGCCCCCCGCAACACAAGAAACTTGATAACTTCAAAAGAGAGTTGACTTAGTAAGAAACAAAATTTCATAAAGAATTAGAAGGTTTCCAGAAAAAAAAATTCCTAAGAGGTGATTTCTCTGAAATAAACACTTAACCTAATATCATTATCGCAACTGACAAAGTTAGAAATATCTAAGAAAGAAGTCAGCAAAAGACAACAATCTACTCAAGGACAATCCAACAAAACCACACAGAAAAGCACCAACAGATCAGAATACGTTATTCACATAAAAGCTAAAACCCGCACAGATATTAGACGTAGACGAGCGAATAAATCGCATGATACATTTGAAGACCAGAAAGAATACTTGAAAATAAAGCCATGAACCCATGAACCCAACTAAAAGTGAACTTGGTAAAATAAGTAAAAGAATACGAAAAATAATTAGCTTTGAATTAAGGACGATGTTATGTGTAAATCAGTGGGAAAATACAAAAGCAACTACAGACTGAGTCTGAAATCTAAAGAGAAAAAATAATATTGAATTTGTATTATTAAATATAAAAGATTTCTATCCTTTTGTAAATTAACCGTGGTAGATAAGGCTCCTTAGCCCAAGAATAGAAAATAAATACCAACAAAAGAGAAATTGGAAATTACTTGTAATTCTTTTAATAAAGTTTTTTTTTTCTTAATGAATATAAAGTTTCTTAATTATCTTTAAAAAAAAAGTTTTTTTCTTAAATATTAACATAGGTGTCCACTTGCAAGCACACACAGACACACACAGACACACACACACACACACACACACACACATATATATATATATATATATATATATATATATATATATATATATATGAGAAAGAGAAGGGAAGACAGTGACAGAGACAAAAAGAGAGTTCTATTTCATTTTTTTCTAGTCCAGTAACTTTTCGTTATCATTTCATATATTATATTCGGTGACTTTCTAATCATACTTATTCTTGTTCATTTTGTTTTTATCTTACCCCTTTTTTCATCTCAATGAAACACCATAAAACGACAAAGTTATCTCTGAAACCATTAGAAACAGTAATCACCTGAAAAAACGTCACAGGAAAGCAAAAAAAAAAATATATAACTTTACTTTTGCATTCGCTTTTTTTATTCGTTCATTTACATCGTTATTTTGTTTATTATTTTTCCAACGATTCATTTTTACATTTGTATATTTGATGTGAACCTTACTTTTTTCAACGCGTTATCACCTGTCGTCCTTTCCATTTCTAGATGCATATATACTCGTATATCAGTTTGTACAATTTCCGGATCTGATGTGGATGTTAAGCCAGGAATTTTAATTTATTTCATGCTAAACCAGTTTTTAATTCAAGCTAAGCCAACAACTATTCACCCTCCTACTTTTTGTCACATATCATTTCCTTTCAGAATATAGACGATCATGCGTCTCCCCAACTTCCTATCCTTTGCAGTTTGAAGCATTGTTAGTTCTCTTAATATCCTCCTTGTTAACTTACACAAGCTCGATAGGAACGTTGCTCACTGTTTCCTTGCTTTAACTTCAGCAGGTTGTGAGTTTAAAATTTCCATATTGTGTATCCGTAAATTTTAAACTTCGCCTTTTTCAATCTAGGCACAAATTAAAACTTCTCCGTTTATCACATGTTTTGTCCATTATACAGAACATCATATCTTGTATTTGAAACTGATTCATTCCAATTACCGCAATTCCCTATGCGTAATAAGCCTTCATCTATAATACGAACCGCTAAAATTGTGCTGAAGATGCTTCTTTTCATGCATAATACTCGCCCCTTGTTTGGCAATCAAACTCTATAAATTGTACCTCTCCTGTTTCATTACGCACAGCCGTTCAATTCAAGCTGTAATTGAAGATATTTATCAATATTTCCGATCTTCATGATTCTAAAAGGAAACGGAAATAGCTATATTGTGCCTACTGCGCAGGCTTATTAACCTGTTTTCTTCAATAAAATGTGCAATCTACCGGATCTGTATGTCGTTTTCACCAAAAAAAAAAAACGACTTTAAGCATAGAATAATAATTTTTTTCTAATTTAGTTTTATGGTAATTCTTATTTTAATTTACACTTGTAAGTATTGTTAGGTACAGATGGTTGTATTTAACATCCTTATGCGGTCGCAATCGCCGAATGTTAGAATCCTATGTTTGTGGTAAGTACTCATTTCACAACTGAAATCGACCTATGAAATGGTAATTTATTGAAGATACTTTTTAACTGTGCATAATACGCACATCTAATTTTGCTTATTATTTTTTTTTAAAATCGTATTATATGGGGAATTACGGTATTTTTTCGTCTATGTATCATCATTTCTCAGTCGTTGTCCACATGGGACTCCCTCAAAATAATCGCTGCATTCCTCATACTTCCGAGAAAGTCGAAAAGAAATATTTAATTGATATATGTTGTTCACAGGTAATGTCAAAATGTATATCTTTTCAGTTCTTCGTCACTTGCTTCTCTATTTTATCCATGCATACTTACATACACGATTTCCGAGGAACTTCTTCTATGTGTCACGATCATTGTTCTCCACAACTTCCTGTCCTTTCTTGCTGTTAACAAGTTTTCTCTTTTTGCTATCGCTCCTAATACCTGTCCTTCCAATCATATAAACAATCTTGTTATGTCGGTTACTTTTCTCTTCAATATCTTGTGTGAATTATCTAAGATTTTTTTTATCAAAATATTCCCAAGAAATGTCAACTGTCTTTTTTTCTGATTCTAAGTGTGTGTTCTTTTTGTTTCCATTTTGCCTAAAATGTCGTCCTTGCTCAAATGTTCTGTTCATATGATCTTAGTATTTTCCTGTAGAATCACATTGATTTGTATCAAGTCTCTTCTTGATCTGTCCGGCATTAACTGTCATAGAGGAGGACCGACATTTCGCAACTGCTCCTATGTTTATAGTTAAATGTCCTTGTTTCTTAATACCTTGCTTAACATTTGGAAGGGATATTTTACTATAGACAATGCCCCTTCGGATTTCAGTGTCACATTTTTGTATTAAAACACATTGTAATTTTTTTAATTTTTTTTTTATTTTCGTATCTGAAACTTACTATCGCTTCTATTCAAAATACGATGAGCTATAAATGTTTAAAGTATTAAATATATGAGTTAAAACCATTCTTTTGGGTGTGCCTCAATTTAGTACTTCCCGGAAGCCCTACCCTGGTTCGTTAACCCCAATGAATTATATGCTCTGTCTTTATTGACTCAGACCTTACACAAAATTCAACCCCGTTTTAACCATCAAACTTCGTGTCAGTTAACGGTTAAGTAATAATATTGATCCATCCAGAATGAATAATCGACTAAACTTTACCATTTAAATAAATAAATAACACATATTTTAAGTATCTGTTGAATACTTTTTTAAACTAATCGAAACTTTAAACTGTTTAAGGCCCCTTCATATAACAATGAAACCTTTAATTTTGCTTAAAGGCAAATTTAAAATAGATAAAATTATTACTTCATGTTTTTTTCTAGCCTATGACTAGAAGAGTTGGTTTTGTGAGTTAAGAAACTTCCTTTTTAGATGAGCATAAGTGATACTAAGAATAGCGTTGATAAACTTGCTTCTAAAAGAGAAGGACCTTGACCAGCATTCCAAATCAGGGTATTTCATAGACTCTAACCCCGACGAATGTCACCTGTACGTAACACACAACTATATCAGCAATTAGCAAGGAACCCTGCTTTTGAAATCATTATTATATTCTTACGTATTGAAACTCGGATATTTAATAAGCTTTTATGATTATGGTATATCCTTAGCGGAGTAGGAAGATTGTATTGCGTTAATCTTCCAATGAGGAAGGCACCCTGACTTTAAAAACAGAATTTGATCTGTTCAGTTTACAAGACATTGAAAACGTATCATAATTACCGGTTAGAAATGCTTATCTCGGCAACTGTAGACAGGTTCAGATTTGTAGAACTTAGTTTCGTGTGGAACAAAGCCACGATAATCAGACACACGGTAAAGACAGGAGTCATTAAACGAATGAATTAATCAATGTTATTACGAATGTCTTAGAGTCATCCCTTTTTAATTGATACATCGAAATTTGTTTATATCGTCTGATTTTATATATTTTCATTCTTCTTTTCATTCATCCTTACTTTCATTCTTTCTTTTTCCCTTGTTCGTTTTTCTGTCAAATTCTTTTCCTTTTGTTTTCTTTCTTTCTATTTCTTTCTATCCTTCTCATCTGTTTTCTTTTTACTTTCTTTCTTGTTTTCTTTTTTCATACATTCTATCTTTCTTTATCACTTTATTTCTCTCTCACTTTTTTTTTATTGTTTTTTACTTTAAAAAATTCTTTTTTTTTTAAAAATTAAATTCTCTTTTTCTTTTTTAATCTTAGTTCATTTCCTTTTTTTTTTTCTTTCATTTATTTCCTTTACCTTTCTTTCTTACTTTTAATTTTATTCAATCGTACTTGCTTTTTTTTCTTTTTTTCTTGATGTCTACCGTTGTTTATAATTTTTTTTCTTTCTTTCTTACTTTATTGCCTGTTATCTAGTATCTTTCTTTCTTTCTTTCTTTTTTTCTTTCTTTCTTTTTTTCTTTCTTTCTTTCTTTCTTTCTTTTTTTCTTTCTTTCTTTCTTTCTTTCTTTTCTTTCTTTCTTTTCTTTCTTTCTTTCTTTGTATCGTTATTTTTTGTTCTGTTATTAGTAAAGTCAAAAGTTCAGCCCAACTGAAATACAAGTTCCGTACAAAATGATTTCTAGTTTTCGTAAACTGTGACAAAATGCTATTTCTTTATCACTTACACTTATCTGCTGATAGAAAGGATTTGAATAAACGTATTTTGATTTGGTAAAAATAAAAAATAGAAAATAATTTTTTCTTAATTTTTTTATGCTTTTCTTTTAAATAGATTTCTTTATGGTCTGTTTTTAAATTATTTTATTTTTTTTATTCATTGAATTTGTGATTAATTAATCGGTTTTCCCTACCGGCCATATTCGCCTATATTTTCTTCACATTAATGTTCAGCTTCTGTTTTCATTACTTTTTCTATGATTTCTGTCTATTTTATTTTACTTGCTTCCTTTTTTTCGCATTTTTCCTCCCTTTCCCTGTTTCTGAGTTTTCTCTTTTTCTTTCAAATTTGTCTCCTTTTCTAATTAATTTATCTTTTGCTCATTTATTTCTCTCTTTCATTTCTTATTTATCTCTTTCTCTTCTTTCACATATCTTTCTCCCCCTCTTCTCATTCCTTTCTCTCTTTCTCTTTACTTTCTCTCTCCCTCGTCCCTTTCTGTCTTTCTCTTCTTTCGCATGTATTTAATTCTTTATTTTCTCTGTCGTTTCTTTTTCTTTTTTCTCTGTCTTCCATATTTCCATTACTTATTTTCCTTCTAGTAATTTAATTTATTGTCCTTCATTTATTTCCTAAGATTTAGGTGTTTTTCGTATCTGCTCTTTTCTATCTCTATCTACCCTTTCTTATTCTGTCTCTGTTTTACTATCAACCTGTCTATTCTTCTTTTTATTTTTTCTCCCCGTCCATCTTTCTTTGTAAATTGGGTTTTTTCCCAATACGTTTATTTTACTTGCATTATTTACGTTATTCGGACTGGTATCCTCATCTTCATTACCACATTGACAACGTTTCGGTCCCTATATCTCTGAAATGCAGTATTATGATTACTTACATTATTTACATTATTCGGACTGGTATCCTCATCTTCATTGCCACATTGACAATGTTTCGGCCTCTATATCTCTGAGATGCAGCATTATTTACATTATTCGGACTGGTATCCTCATCTTCATTGCTACATTGACAGCGTTTCGGCCTCTATATCTCTGAGATGCAGTATTATGATTACTTGCATTATTTACATTATTCGGACTGGTATCCTCATCTTCATTACCACATTGACAACGTTTCGGCCTCTATATCTCTGAGATGCAGTATTGTGATTACTTGCATTGTTTACATTATTCGGACTGGTATCCTCATCTTCATTGCCACATTCACAACGTTTCGGCCTCTATATCTCTGAGATGCAGTATTATGATTACTTGCATTATTTACATTATTCAGACTGGTATCCTCATTTTCATTGCCACATTCAAAATGTTTCGGCTGTTGTACGCTTTGGCTTTCTTCAGGTGATTGGAATTTTGAGCATGGCCCAGTGGATAAAGACGTTCTTTAGATCCAGTGACTAGCCCCAAGGAGTTGTGACTTCAATACCAGACAACAGCAGTGGTGAACTAAAACTTAGAGTTAAAAAGAAATAACTGAGACACCCAGAAGAGGTATAGAACGTGGAACTATAACAATGTAGCGCGGTGTGTAAAATAAAGTGATCGGTTCGAAATTCTAATCGTCTGAAGAAGGCCGGAGCGTACAACAGCCGAAAAGTTGTGAATATGGCAATGAAGATGAGGATAACAGTCGGAATAATGTAAATAAGGTGAGTAATCAAAATACCTCATCCCAGGGATATAGTTGGATGCATTTCTTTTAAGGTTTTAACTAGTTTCTTTCTCTATCTATTTTTACATTCTCATGTTTTTTCCATCTCTTATTTTGGCGTCTGTATTTTCCATTTACATTATTTTCTCCTACTCTTTTTCCATTCTTTTTTAATCTTCTTTGTCTCTTTTCTTTCTTTCTTTTTTCTTCTCATTCTATTTCTTTCTATTACCCAACTTTTCTTTTCTTTGTCACTCTCTTTTTCTCATTCCCGATTTCAACTGTCACTATTTCTTCGTCTTTACTATTTTACTCCTCCCCCCGCCACTATTTCCTTGCAGTTCCAAATCCCTTTTTTATTTCTTGGTCTTTGTTTTGCTTATTCTCTCATTTTCCATTTACTAAATTTCCATTCCTTTCCATTCCTTTCCATTCTCGCCACTCACTCTTCGTGTCTATTGATTAATTATCAGGGATGGCGAGAAAAAGAAGAAAGCAGATCCCAGGAGATATCTTAAAAGCAAAACATTCCCCGTCCAATTCAAGACAATATTGGTTAATAGCCTTATCGGTCGGCCAGGCTATATTCACTGGGTGGTCACGGCCACTTGGCCCGTATTCAACAGCTGTCGATGAAGAAAACATGAACGCGACGGGCGCAAACTCTTTTCCGATGGAGGCGCCAAATAAAGATATGTGAAGACGGTGAGAACAATTTGGCAGCTTGTCCACAGCGCTCAACCACGACGGCTCTTGTCATTGTTGGCTTTAACAGAACAAATCTTATCAAAGACCGGACATCTACAAGCCACTGCTCCAAGCTTGACAAGGAAAACGTCGCTCAAGATCTGAACGTGAGCACTGAAGCATTTACGTGCACATTGTCTAATATCAACATGCTCATTCTTCTTTTGATATCTTCTTCTTCTCCTTCTTCTTCTTCTGTGCCGTCACCCTTCATAACGTCGGCGGTCATGGCTCTCCATAATTTCCAATTCTTCATATCTCTTAGTAAATTTTGTCTTTTTGCGGTGTCCTTTAATTCCCGTTCTGCCAACGATTTACACAAATTTGTAACGTAGGTTATGCACTGCCATCCTCTCTCAATCCGTCAGTGTCGAATTTTCTAAGCTATCTTTCCTCTTTATGTGCCCGAGGAATATAAATTCTTTTTCTGATTCTAAGTATGCGATCTGTTTTACATTTTCTATAAATCTTCGTCGTTGCTCCCAAAGCACTGGGGTCCTTGTCATTAATGTGCATTCATCTAGAAGTCCGTCCGTTTAAAACGACATTAATTAAACGATTTGTTAAGAGCGATTGGATTAAGCCAAATATTCGCCCACATGCACCACAGCCTTCTGCCGAACGCCTTTCAGATATCTAAACCCACAGCCCGTGCCTCGTCGATTTTATCTAAAGCCTGATTAACACATCGGCGGTAAAAATGTGAAACGAAAGCTATACTGTTTATCTAAAAGAAGCCGCCTGAACTGACATGCTTAACCATTTCAGTTAAAAGACAAACAGGGCGATAATTCGGGGATTCAGAATGTTACCCAGAGTTCTTCAAGAAAGGTGATTATAGAAGAGGATTTCCAATAAGCTGGAATGAAAGAAGCAGCAAGATATTTACTGTAGAATTTGGGCAGAACAGGAGCCAGTACAGAGGGCCATTTCACCAGAGTAATTACATGGATACCGTAGAATCCGCAAGCCCTGGTGGATCTAGTTTAGATATGATAGCAGAAGGAGGAGTTATGTGCATATCACTCAGTGATAGGGGAAAAATCAGGCAAAAATACTCCTAATAAGGTAAGAGTGGTGCTGTAAGAGAATTTTATAGAAAGGCATTCTGCTTTTTCTGCAGTATACAGCAATTCTTCATACCGATTGAAGAGAGGTGACTCTTGTTCAACAGACTCTTACGGCTGAAACTTTCTGTGATTAATAACAATGATGAGGACAACATTCCGAATGGTAATAATGTAACTAAATCACAGTTATTTGGACAATACAAATTTGATCATCATTCCTAAAGAATTATGCTTTATTGGTGTTTTATATTCGCTTATATGGTTAACAGCCGTGGATTGTCTCTTACTTTTGTTAGTTTGCATTTCCCTTGCCTGTCTTTAATATAACATATTTTTTAATGCTTTGTTTTATTTGTTGATCTTCTTTTATTGACAGCAAAGTCAATAAAAGCCACTAGAATGACACGGTTTACCGAAAATGAAAGAAATCGGGAAGGTAATAGATAAAAGGATTCAGAAAGACAGCATTTAAATTTTTGATGGTCTTAGTTGAAAGGAAAGCTTTTAACAAGTGCGGGAGAAGAAACCGCTAGCAAAATTACAACTAACAAATTAATTTGTGAAATTGAGACCTAACTGCTAATCTAGTATTGCTTTTATGTTCTAGTAGTCGTATTAATCTCCTCAGAACAATTATCATGAACATAGAAAAGGGTTGAAAAGTGAGTGAAGACAAGATGTAATGTTTTTAGCTATATCGTTGCCGATCCTTGTTTGGATTTTATCAAGAATATATAAAGCAAAAGCACAACACGAGATGTGACAGGAATAGTCGATGTACGAACGAATAAATCTGAAAGATTATGGTGGGAAAAGTGTCTAGCACGACATAGTGAACGAACATTTCTAGCAGTAAACTTAGTAATTTTATGTCCAAGTAAATGTATTCAATGCTTTTCACCACAAAGAGTCCGTTTCGATTCCAAGTGTCCTCTGCATAAGTCATTTGTTTGTGTCAATTCTTTTTCATTTCGTTATTATTGCAATGATTAACACTTCTAGGGTCATCATTTTCCTTAATTCTTCACTAATTTCTCTACTTATCCAGTTGAATGTATAATTGCAATCGGAACAATTGAATGTCGTCTCAGAATGTCCCATTCTCCTGTAATTATTTGTGAAAATATCACTATAATGTAATGCATTTTTTTTTCTATTACTTCAGTAACAAAACAATAAATTTAATAATCAATGTTTTCTAAATTCTCAGGTTGGGGTCTGATAATCTTGTAATTTTTCCTTTTTTTTAAATCGTGTTATACAGGATATTCACTAAAAGGATATTTCAGCAAAAAAAAAAAAAGGGTAATATTTATGCATTTGTTGGAGTGCTCTCGCTCCCGTTGACCGTTACGCAAGATATAAACATCTACTATTTTAAACTTGGATGTAGCCAACATAATCTTGTCTGCACAAGGTCAGCACATGGTTCTTGATAATGACTGAGCTGGTCGAAAATAATATACAGAGGAAGCGACTGGTTAGCAAGTCAAATTACTGTTTTTAAACAACAAATTTCACATTATATCCTCGAACGATCTGTAGCTAAATCGTATAGCACGTAAAGCAAAATGATGGTTAAGTGTAGGATACAGGTTCGATTGCTGTTGGAGGACAAATTTTTTTTTGGGGGGGGGCGAATTTCTTGGATATTCAGGAGATAAATGTAGTTAATACTGTTTATTATATACAAAGCATTTACTTAAATATTTGTATCTATAAAAATAGCGTATAAACAGAAAGTATATTAAAATAATTGTCGGACTTAGTCCATTTCATAATATATATATATATATATATATATATATATATATATGTAGATAGATAGATAGACATGTCCGTCTGTCTGAATGAGTGGAGGTTGAATTATGGGGTACATAATGCTATTCGATCATATACAGATGTTAATATAAACTGATTTTCAAATCAATAGTCATTATTGGTCCAAGAATATTGATATCTCCAAATCGATATGATGGGTCGGCTCATAAATACTTGCCTACTTATTCGCATGTAGTAATGTATAAGTTACCGAGAATGGCACTGAAGACGGTCGCAAAACCCACTTATTTACTCGTCAAGAAATTCATGTTTACTCATCGTGTCCACTTATTGAGGGACGTGTCGGAGAAAACTTGCCATACTATTTTTAATGGTGCATGTGCGTGGTTGTTGCTCAACCGCTAACTTTACAAATCACAAGCTACACGCAAAAGTAAGATTAAACATGACCTACAAAAATCATATTTTCAAGGACAGAAAAAGAGGTTATATATATATATATATATAGACAATCATACACACATACATATATATATATATATATATATATATATATATATATATATATATATATATATATATATATACACACATACACATATGTATATATATATATATATATATATATATATATATATATATATATATATATAGGAAAATGATAACAAATGCAGTATAATTCCACTGTACGTAACATTTAGTTTAAAAGAGGGATCAGTACAGAGTAGTGTTAAGTATTATTTATTTGAATATATTAAAACGTTAAAGATCGATTCATAATGAGAATTATGCTTTTTTAACACTACGAAGGTAAACATCGGCCAAGTGTAGTGTTGAAACATTATTGGTATTATGTAGCTATTTTAACATGTTTTAATATCCTAAAATTAATCAAACACAAAAATGCGCGCGCGCACACACACACAGAGACACACGGTAAACATTGAAATCAACACTCACAGTCGACAGAGTTTTTCATTCTTGAGGCAATCATCAAGCCTGATGAATGCGTCTAGCATGAAACCTTTCAGAGTTGACTTCAATGTGACTTTTATATTCACATGCGATCGGTATCTGATATTGAGCACTTTATCCCATAAATATAGCACACCTTAAAACTATATTTCTTCACACACACACACACACACATACACACACTCACACAAACACACACACACACACACATATATATATATATATATATATATATATATATATATATATATAGAAAGAAAGAGATAGATATTTTAAAAATATATAATGATATATATATATAAATATTGAGATAGGTATTTTAAAAATAACGTTGTGAAGGAATTTACTGCTTGTCTCAGAAGGAGTATTTGTAAGTAGGAGAATTATTTTTAAGTTGAATCATTAAACTTTATCGACATCAAACGTCTGTCATTTTAACTGTTTTTGCCTTAATGAACATTTAGTGTCTATATAAACAGAATGGGTTGCTATTAAATATTAAATACGAATATTTTAATACCTATTATATATTTCTTATACAGTTAAATAAAAACGTTGCGTTATTACGTTAAATTATTTTAATTTTTTCTTCAGAACATTATTCCATCTAAAGTGATATTATTGAACTCGCAACTCTTTGGGACTAGTAACTGGATCTAACTAACGACTTTATCCACTTGACCATGTGTCTTCAGTGACTAGACCCAAACAAAGGGTTGTGAGTTCAATACCAGGTCACAGCAGTGGTGAATCGACAAATTTGGTGAGATGAGTTAAAGAGAAATAACTAAAACATCTGGAAGTGGCATGGCACGTGGAACTAGAACAATCTACCCCGGTGAACGAAATAAAGGGTTCGATTCGAAATTGCAATCACCTGAAACAGGCCGGATCGCACAACGGCCGAAACGTTATGAATATGACAATGGAGATGTGGATAAATA